GTCGGGATCCGTATTGGAAAGTTTAATTTTAAAAACGATAGCATAAAATTGATTTAAAAGAATATTATATTATATATTGGGTTATAAGTTATTTTTTAAAGCAGGCGGTATAAAAATAGATAGACCTAGTTATTTTGAAACCTCGCAAGAAAATTGATTTAATAAATAGTTCAGAATCCTTTAACGTCATCCATTTAGACTAAGGGTTATAATAAGCATAGTTATTTTCAAGCAAATAAACAATTTGAGAGGATAGAGAATGTCTTAAATGCAACCCTTCAACGTATCTAAGGCCCTTTAAGGTTCCTTAGTTTGCAAATATTAAGACTGACTAACATCTTAGTACCTTCATAAATAAGTAAACATGAAAATGGATAGGTGCAAAGGTGTACATATGAACGCATATGTAAATTAATTGAAACATATACGTACTGACTCTGAATATATTATTACATTAATATTATCAAAATGATATATTTGTTTAGTTCTAGCGAGCAAATGGCTTGTTTTAGAGCTCACATTAAAGTTAGTTTGTATTAGGCAGAGAAAATATAATATAATTTTATATGGTAAATTGTATTATTATTCAATTTAATTGCATCAATTATTTAGGTTTTCAAAATAGTGCCTCTTTTTGAACTTCTTCTCAATTGAAAAACGGCTTTACCGAGCTTTTAATTTAAATTTTATTTAAATAATTATTAAAATCATATATTGATTTTTTAGCAAAAGCGTTGAGAATATCTTGATAACTGATACTTGTAGTTTTACCATGCAACTTTAAACTCTTGTATTAAAATATGTATTAGTCACTTAAAACTCCAAAGAAAAAATAGTTAGCCAATAGCATTATCTGTTAAAAATATGAATTATTTCTCCAAGAATCTAACAATTACAAATAAAATTATATTGTATATTTTACTGGACATAAAAGCCCAATATTGCGTTCTACCAAAAAATAATGTTATAAAAAAAAAGTATGTAAAAAGAAAGTGCAATGATTTATTATGGATTAATTTAATTATTTTTTTCATTAGACTGTTGCCAATTTATTCTATTAACGCCAAGTTAAAAATGATTTAAATTAATTTTAAGTTTCTTATTATAAAAAATTATTAGAATTGTGGTGCATCAACGCACAAGATTTTCATCTAATAATGTATTATATAATCATATAATATGTGTGTTTATGTTCGATCATATAGCTACCGATATTACATTATCATTATTATCAGTTTTTATCACCTTGTATTTTACGAGTTCATATCTTCATGGTAAAAACCATAAAAACTATATATCTGCAGAATTCAATAATAGTCTTATATTGCATTAAAATTTTGCCATAAATTCTTTTTGCAATTACTATTTTGATTAAACGCATAAATCAATCTAGATCTTTAAAGCCTGGTGTAAGATTTATAATAAAAATTCACTCACTGTAATATACTTTATTTTCTAATAAATATTGAAAGAGATTAAAAATTATTTCTTAGCAGATTTAGTTTATCGTACGTTATGATTTTTCTTTAATTTATGTGAAATAACAATGGAAAAACTTTCCATTATTAAATAAACAATAAAAAAATGAAAAGGTATGATATAAATACCTGTAATATGAAAAAAAAATAGAAATAGGGTAGGGCCAGGCACAAAGGTCCATTTTGATCAATTTTATTATAAAAACCAAACTAATCATGCAGAAATAACGCATTCAAACAAATAACTATCTGACTATGTTCAGTGAAACTCTTAGCTAATTCAATATTGTTGAAATGTGGTCTTTTACTGTTTCAAAAATTTGTCACCTGGCCATTTTTATCTCATAGTATTAGCGAATTGTATTTTTTCCGCGAAAACAAACTTCTTCTTCGAGAAGAAGAAGAAATATTTTTACTTTCACTAAACAATAATCGATATGATTTCTAATTGATGCCTCTCAAACATACCCACTTATAAAATCTACAATTGTATAAATTAATTTAATTTGTTTAACACATTTAATTTTATCCAATTCTTGCTCTGAAAATGTATTTTATTTAAGCGTTGACGTCAACTGTAATCAGTAGCTACCTACGAAACACCTAAGAATGTGCACCTATCCCCGTTTTACACAGAATGGAAAACCTTGTAACTCAACAGGTTCACTTTTATATGGAGAAACCGTGCTAAATGAAAATCACTATAATAAAGCTTTTTTTTTGTCTGTTTTTAATATGATGAATAATTAATTAATTTCAATAATAAAGCAAATAAAAAAAACTATTTTAAATATTGCATTTTCTTCATAGATAAAAATTAAAATTGGTTTGTAAAGACATAACCTTTTTTACTCACTAGTTTTTTATTTTCGTCTTTTGCAATTGTAAAACTCTAATTTTTTTTATAAAATATAGGTTAAAAATGATTTTGTTATTTGCTCACCTTGAATAAATTTACTCTGTTAATTGTATATAAACAATAATTAAAAGCTAGATTTAAAAACGATGATGCTCTCTATTTTGATATGCCAAACAAACTAGCTTATACACACATAATTTATTTTTGATCATAAAACCGGGGCTTCCCGTCTCATATACATATTTCCATCATAGACATACACTACTAAGAATTCGTAACTGTAACCTACATTTTGTAGTATTGTAATTCGACAGTAAACCAATGAAAATGTTATTGTATATATAAGAAAATTATAGTTTAGTGTTTATAATTTCATGTAAATACAAAATAAGTGAATTTCGTTAAAAAAATTGTTTCAAAAACCGTGTAAGATCGAAATCGTACATATTTTAGTATGTACAAATAATGTATGAAGATTCTTATTAGAATCGCTCAAGTATCGCGACGCGGCAATAATTATAAGCTGAGATAATTCTTATAATTATATAGCTTTCTTTTATAACTGGTGTCGACTCAGTGAATCATATAGTTAATTTTAGGCCTATATTAATAATAATAATAGTATGTTATTGCAGACTAAAAAATCTATCATTATCAACATTTCATCAAAATGAAACGGCCCGATCAAACTTTACCAAAAACCCGACCAAAAGCCTTCGAACAATTTTAAAAATTTTAAGATCGACTCAAAATTGTGGACAAAAAGTTTTAGAAACTTTACAGAATTCTTGAGGCAACAGCTTGAGATAAAAACCAAAAAGCTTTACTGGTTAATACGGACTAAGTCCAAACTAAGCTCATGCAATAAGCTACTTTTATATAAAACTTTATTCAAACCAATTTGGTGCTATTGACTACAATTGTGGGGCAATGCTCATAAGACTAATATAGAAATAATTCATCTATTTCAGAACAAATTGAAAATTGCCTTAGGAGCACCAAAATTTATGTCAAACTGGCTAATTTATCTTGACACAAATACCTTTACCATAAAAGATGTAATAACAAAAACAACACATAAATATAGAAACAAACTCATCACTCACCCAAATTCACTAGCAAACTCCTCAGTAACAGAGAACTATCGATGAAAGTTGAAAGGAAAAGCGCCACTGGATTTGTCATCCTAATAAAAAAAGAAATAATTTAGTCATTATTTATAAGAAATTACTTTATAAGTAAATAGTTAAGATTATATAATTATTAATAAAATATTGTTAATATTACAACGAATGGAAAAACAACTATTGAATTGTTTTTCCAACATGACCATTTAGAGTACAATTTCCTTTTATGGCTGACAATTGTAAATTCCCCAAATTTATTAAATGTCCTTAACTGGACAGTTGTGAATAAAGTATAGAATAAAAAAAATAATAATATAACTAATAATAACTCTCATACTAAATAATAATATAATAAACTAGTTGGTTTGGTATTTGGCCTTAAGGCAAGTTACATGAACTTCCCGATATGTGTAAATAATCGACTTAATCAAAAAAAAAAGTGTAAATAATATACTTCATCAATCCTACTTTAAAAAAATGATAATTTTAGCAAAGTTTGACGAATTTTCAAAATTAAACTACTTGTCGTAAGGCCGTAATATTACAGTAAGTTCTATAAGACCATGATGTATATCGCCAAAAAAAGTTCCATGAACATCGGCTTAAATTTTTTTTCAACAGTTAATTACAAGAAAACGGCTCGGTAGATTTTCACCTAAAACTAATCAGTACTATTCCCAACTAATATCTTTCGAACAGTTTTTGATTTTTTTTAATCGGTTCGGTAGGATGAGCTTAAATGTGGACGAAAAGTTTAACACTTTTTTTCAAATTGCAAAGAAACGGCTTGGCAGATCGTCTCACAAAACTGACAAACGATAGTCCTCATTGAGATACATCAAATGGCTTTTAAATTTCTGAAATCATTTCAGGCATTTTTGAGAAAACCTCGATCAAAGGTCTAATTTTGACAAATGCCAAAAAAACGATACCAATTTTTTCAAACTTTGACGAATTTTTAAAGCTGAACCAGTTGTCGTAGGGCCGTAATATTTTAGTATGATCTAGAAGACTATGGTATCTACCGTCCAAAAAATAATATAAAAAATCGTCGAAATTTTTTTTCAAAAAAACTTTATTACAAGAAAACGGCCCGGCCGATTTTTACCAGAAACTAATCAGCACGATTCCCAACCAATATCTTTCGAACGGTTTTTGAATTTTCAAAATCTATTAAGAATTGCGGGCTAAAACGTGGACGAAAATTTTTTCACTTTTTTGCGATTTACAAAGAAACGGCTCGGCCGAACGTCACACAAAACTCTGAAACGCTAGTCCTCATCGAAATACATCGAATGGCTTTTAAATTTTTGAAATCGGTCCAACCATTTTTGAGAAAACGTCGATTTACGGCAAAAAATCTGTTCACACACACGCACGCACCCACACATACTTTTTCCAAATTTGGACTCATTCGATTCAGAATGGCTTGAAACATCGAGAAAACATAAAATTAGCGAATTGGATTTTTTTATGAAAACATAAACTTCTCCTTCGGGAAGTTAATAATTAATCTTTCAATAATGTTAATTCCAGATATTGGGCTGTGACGAACATCGACTACATCCATCAAAGGACAAAGCGTCGTATAATGCTGATGATCCTGGCCGTGTGGAGCGTGTCCTTCCTGGTGTGCGTGGCACCGATGCTCGGCTGGAAGGATCCCGATTGGCAGCGCAGGATATCCGAGGATTTGAAATGTCTAATCAGCCAAGACGTCGGATATCAGGTGTTTGCGACGATATCATCGTTTTATTTGCCGCTTCTAGTCATACTGATATTGTATTGGAGGATATTTCAAACGGCGCGGAAGAGGATACGACGAAGACAGGTTAGCAGTACAATTGATAATATATTGTCAAAGAATTTAAAGCCAGTAAAGGATTTTTTTTCAATATCTTTACATACATATTCTCTCGATAATATCTTTTCGAACAAATCACAGTGATTTTAATAAATATTAAATTTTAATAAATATTAGTTGTATATACAGATATACACACAATTATTTTTATATGCTGTTTTATAAGTAACGGTTATTTTCGTATATGTAGGGTAGTTGAAGGATCCATGGGTGAAAAGGTTCACGAAATCTCGATATCTCTCAAAACAAGTCAAGTTGAGAATTTTTTAACATTATATTTTTAACAGCCAGCACCTTGATTCTTAACACGTTGTTATCAAGAGACGACAATATTTGAAAATCCATAACAAAAATATTTTCTTTCGTTGTTAGTTTTTCTGGCACTGTTGTTTAGTTTACGAGACCTTAACATAATTTTTAAGTATACATTGTTTAATTGTTTTATAAGATATATTGTTATTTTTAATTTAGACTCAATAGTTTTTATTATATAATCTCTATAATAGCTAACATGAGTTTGGGGTAAAAAGGAATCCTATATCTTCACAATGGCATAGGTGTAAACAATGAGAAAATAGTAAATGAAAATATAAAATTAGATAAAGAAAGGTATTTTACAAGAGATAAATCAAATAAATAGTTATTCCAACTTTGCTGATAAATATTTCTGACGAAATACGAGATCAAGGTTATATACAGTATTCTCTGTAAAAGATGCACTTTTATATCTTGCAGTGGTTTAATAATGTAGCTATTATCTTGTAAAATCCCTTCAAAATTAAAATTAAGACACTGGATCTGTTCGCTTTCTTGCTGTTCCAATTTACCGCGCCTATGGGGTAAAAAGGGGCAGTTGACAAGTTATAGAAAAAGAGTAGAAAAACACATTTTTGTAAAAATAAACTCTATATTTTTTATTTAATTTTTAATTTTTATAACCCTTGTTTATCTTAAACTTTTTCACATATTTTTATTTTAAACTTTTTCTTTCGTTTTAATTTTTTAAGTACCCAATTTAAACTTATAAATTTTGAAGTTGTAATTTCACTGTGAAAATAAGTAAATAAATAGAAAATATGATTTTGAACAAATTTCTAAAGAAATGATATAAAAATAAAATGCACTAATGCAAATTAATGATAAAAACCATAAATAAGAACATATAAACAATGCACACTATTAATTAAAGTTTCTTTTTTCTGTAGCTTAAATTATATTATTGTATTTTTAAGTACATTTTAATAAAAGTAAAGTAGAAGTCAATCATTTTAAATAAATTAGAAATCAATAATTTTAAATAAAACTCAATATTAAAAATCATACTCGTTTTTTTAAGCTGACAAAAGTAATCTGATAAATTCCATAAGCTTTTAAACATAAACATCACTCAACTCTAAAATGACTTACTCAATTAGATTTTTTAACTTATAATGAAATTTATTTATTATGTGGCTCTCCACACTTAGATTGATTTTAATTTTTAACTAGTGATGTATGGCATCGTGTCTTAAGGCAAATTGCTGGAACTTCCCGTACCGTAACGAAATGTTCGAAGAATATTAAATGTTCTCAAATAAATTAGTTTAATATTAATACTGTAACCATGTCTAATATTTAAAAAAATTATATAAACTGAATTACAAAGTAAAATTATTCATTCAAAATATATAAGTGAGCTTTAGAACTTTAGCCAGAAATAAAATTAAAATCTGAATTATTTTCGATACAAAAAAATCGAAAAAGAAATTGAAATAAAATTTTATGCACTCTTTGCTTCGTATCTCCGTAGCGGGTAGACCTGCCTTTGCCAAAAACTAATCAGCACATTCATTTTACCCTACGGGAAGTTAAAAAATTAATGTTCTATGTCTACGAAATATTACTTGAAAACAAAATGACAAATACTTTTTAGTTATCAAAGTGTTAAATTACTATTTTATCAATAACATAATAATTGCTGTCATCAAATCAAGTAAATACTGTTACATTATTTTCAACAAATACTTCGAAATCGTAAATTCAATTTTTATTTCCAAATTCTAAGAATATTACTCAAATGTATATAAGAGTTTACCACCCATCACCAATATCGGATAGCAGAAATATATTATAACGTCCAAGAGAAGCGAACAAAATTTATATGCTAAAGATGCAAAAAGCTTTATGAAATATTAAGTTGATATTCATTCTCTCCTTGAAATTTGAGTGCTTGATTATGCCGCTCACGAACTTCCGTATAAAACGAGAAATAACTTTGGTTAGTAAAATCTCAACTGCTCCTCTTGGGAAATGAATACTTATATTATTCATCTCCAACTTTGCATTACATCACGCATTTTGTTAAATCTGTCCGGAAAGATACCTGGGTACTACCTGGACTCATAAACGCGTCAGAAGGAAATTAGATAATATCGTCGATGATGCATTATCTCCGCGAGAAGAATTACGATGTACTGGATATAGCGAAGTTTTTTTACGGCGGATTTTTTATCGCTGTTTTCTACACTTTTCACCTGTAATAAATTCGTTGAACCTACCATTTTGATAAATGTGCTGTACCGGGAAGCATAAAGAAATTCAAATCGTTCTTTTAATACAATTAATTTCATTTTTTATATAAAAGTATGAGTTATTGCATAAGTTCTTTTTTGCAATTTGCCGTACTTTTTTTTGTTCATAATATTACGATTAATAATTATGAGGTAAAGTAGGGCGTACAAAGGTATAATTCGATTTTGAGCAATTATATTGTGAAAAATCAACCAATTATATCGCTCTCTGTTGAAAATAAGTTGCTGATATATAAATCAATCATTAAATCAATCTGGACCTGCGGAGTTGAGCTCTGGGGATGTGCCTACAGATCAAATATAGCTATAATGCAGAGAACTGATCTCAACATGAAAACGGTGCAATTAACGTTCAAAGAATTTAAGGAAAAATACAAACGTAAACTAGAATCACATTCAAACCCATCAATAGGTGACATTATCCAACCATTTGGCATTAGAAAATTGAAACGTCAATGGCCTTTAGATTTAGTCTTAGATTAGCTTCAATATATCATTATCTTTTTGATTGTTAAACTAAGAAGATCTCATTGGAGTTCTTCTTAGACATCGCTCTTAAATATTGTCAATTTAGCTTATAGGAATTCTTATATATTTCTGATTGCTGAATAAAACAGAGTTAAAATTAAAAAAAATACATAAACAAACCTGACATATCAAATAAACAACTCAGTGAAACTCCCAGCTAATTTATCACTGCTTTTTATCAAAAAATTATCACCTGTTTCTTTTTAGCCCATAGGCGAGGTAAAATGGGAGGGCCAAGGAGCAAACAGATTCAATGTCGTATTTTTAATTTTTAAGAGATTTCATCCAACAAATACCTTTGTTAAAAAATTATTTAATTTTCTTGTTTCTGAGATATCGGTGGTGGACCTTTATACTCGCGGAGTTTTAAGTATCAATCTACTATATATATGACTAGTTTTTTTTATTATTTTAGATAATCTTAATGCACTGAGGTTGTAGTTATTCTCATTAACAGTGTGAATTTAATTTTGATAATAAATTTAATTGTGCTATTTGCATTTTAATGTGGCATTTGCATGAATGTACAAAAATGCTTTTTGATATACGGATGAAGAGTCAATTCAGAAAACTTTAGTTTACATTACATGAAACTATTTGTTTCTTATTGATTATTTGACTACATTATGTTTTAAATCAATAGTCCATAAAATACAAAAATAATCTAAATTGACAAAAAAAATTTTTTTTTGAGAGAGTTTTTAACAAACGACCATTATTACGAAGTTTATGACTTTTTCGAAGGCTTTTAGAAGAAAATCGAATCACAGTTCTTACTGAAATTTGAATTTAATTTCTAAATGCTACTAATATAGAAATAAGACAATGGTCGATGTTTCTAATTGTGATATTGCAGCACCACCACGAATGGCTACTTTCACTGAAAATTATATTTAGATCTATATTCCAAGTGAAAACAGTTATCACTTGAATTGATTTCTATCAGATTATCCAAAGCGGAAATTGAACCTGGAACCTTGTGGATGCAAGGCCAGAGCTTTTGTCAAATGATCCACGAATAAGCACAATGATTATCATAAAAATAAATTGTTTACCTACAGTTGTCTCGAACAAAACTAATAATTAGCATCAGCGTAGTAATATATTCGACGTCTGAGCTCGTAATTAATGACTTCGTATTGGCAAGATAAAATAAACATGCCTGAAGTACTAGAGAGGCAGACGAGTCCTTTATTATGTATTCATCGCTCGCATATTTTAAGCAGATAATATATTTCGGCGCCTAATGAGAGGGTTTGCACTTAGCTCTTATACTTATCCTTAAGACTAGTGCTAATCACAGGGACTGAAGTCGTTGCAGACGTTTGCTACTTAATATTCAATTTTGTAAAATTCCAACTAGCAAGCAAATTGAAAACGTAGGGAATTTTATAAATTAATCACCCAAGTGGTGATTTAGAGGATTTCATTATGTTCAACTAGATCAGAGTTGTATACAGTGTTATCTCTGTAAAAATGTACCCATGAAATTTTTATTTTTTTCATTGGTTGAATAATATAGCTATTATTTCGTAAAATGCCTTCAAAACTTAAAAATAGGACATTGTATCTGTTTGACCGGTGGCTCTTTCTTTTAACATAGCATTTAGGGTAAAAAGGACCAAGTGACAAATTTTTGAGCAAAAAAATATATATTTTTACAATGATGAATTATCTGGGAGTTTTACTAAACATAGTCAGATAGTTGTTTGTTTGATATGTGTGATTTAGTTCGATATAATTCGTTTGGTTTTCCTTATAAATGAATAATTTTAATTACAGTATATGGCCTAAAACTAACATGTGACACATGCTAGTAAAAATAAAGGTTAGTTTCTCTAAAATTTAAACGATATTTGCTTTAAAACTATTGTGGCTGAACATTTGTATTTAAAATAAACTCTAAAAATATCAATTTTTATTGCGATCTCATTACTCTATTCATATATATAAATATATTTAAATCTTTTATCTTCATTTTTATACCGCTCGGGGTTAGTTTGTAAATGCTCATTATTTTGTATTAAATTAACAATAAATTGCTTATTATGATCTGTTATAACAAAAGTTCTCATTAAGTGAATAAATATATATAAATACATATTTTTCCTAGAAAGAATGAAGCAACTGAACAAACGTAACAAGGATAATAAGGTGTTCTAAATATAGAAAAACATATTGTTTTCATAAATTTTAATTTT